GGGAGCCCGATGCGGGGCTCGATCCCAGGACCCTGGGATCATGACCTGAGCCGAAGGCAGACGCTTAATGACTGAGCCACCCAGGTGCCCCAAGAGCTACCATTTCCTTCTGCCACATACTAAGATGATTTTTCAAGCCCATTTCTTGTAAATTGGGACTGTAATACCACACTCATAGGTTTCTCATTGGGATCAGAAGAGGATGCTTATGAAATGCTTAGAACAGTGGCTGGCATATGGTTCGAGCTCATTCCATTTCAGCACTTATTAATGACTAACTATCAAAATCCAGGAAAGAGGGCGCCTGGGTGGCTCAGTCGGTTAAGCCTCTGCCTTCAGCTCAGGTCATGATCCCAGGGTCCTGGGATTAAGTCCCACATCGGGCTCCCTGCTCAGCAGGGAGTCTGCTTCTTTCTCTGACCCTACCCCCTCTCGTGCTCTCTTTCTGAAATAAATAAATAAAATCTTAAAAAATAATAAAACCTTTAAAAGAAAATCCAGGAAAGAAGGCTATAGGGAAGAGTTAAATATCCACTTAGTGAGTTTCCAATTTCTAAAGGTCTGGATTCCAGCTTAGTAAGAGAAAAGAGCCTTGCACATGACACGAGACTAATAGACTATCTTAATCCATGCAGTGCTGGGACACAGCAGTCTGAGTAATCCTGCCTGACAGCCTTTCCTTCTTTCCCCTGAACCTCCCTCCATCCTCAAAGGCTGGTTGTCCTGACCAGGACCCCTGGAGGGAACACACTGGATCCCTGCTGGCGGGTACCAAGAGAACTTCTCAGACAGATCCTTGGAACTATTTTGAATCTATAGGCTCCTTTATGGAGCAGAGCAACTGTGGGGGTCTGACCACACAAACAGAAAGGTTATTAAAGCATTTGGCTAAAAGCTGGGGGGTTAGGTGAAATGTAAACCAAGCAGTGCTTTGATAGACTCAGCACATTGCAGGCCTGAGTGAAAGGGGTCAAGTTCAGATCTGGATAGCAAAGTGGACTCAGAGTCCTGTTCCCTTGGAAACCACAGAGATAGGTGTGTAATGTTGAGTCCAGAAACTTCTGACCTCAGGCTGCTTCTCTGTGTCCAAGTGACTTAGCTCCTCCAGGCATGTTTCTTTCTTACAATTATGATTTAAAACAGCAAATTTATGATATTGGGGGGGGAAAGAAATCTCAGTAAAATGTAATAGTCACTCAAAGAACATGATTATTGGGATACTTTACAGCTGTAACATGACCTTGGGAAAAGTAATGTTTCCTGTTAACATTGCAGCTGACTTCATCAGTACCTCTCCTGATGCATGGACAGGCAGACTTTCACTTGTTCATTCCACACTAATTTTCACTTTCTTGGTATAGACTCCTAAATAGAAATCCTGAACCAAACATTTTAGTCATCTTTCCTTTTTACTTTTCCTGACAGTATCACCTAACACAGCCCACCTTTGCCCCCAGTCATTCTGTTCCTGATAGCTATGGGAAATGCATCTCTTTCCTGGTGGGTCACCACAGTACGTTTGAGTCCATGGGAATCAGAGGTGACCCTGCTGAAGGAAGCTGCTTCTCCCCAGAGGCTGGGGGATGGGGAGCTCCTCCACCATGGTCACCTTCTCCAGGCTGCCCTCCTGGAGGCGGCAGGAACCAGAATCACCACCACCTGCCACAGACAGAGGGTTGGGGGGGCCAAAGCAGTCCTGTTCTGGATCAAGGCAGTTCCACTGCATACAAATTGCTGGGGCTCCCCTGGAGGTCTGAACCTGAGAATCTGCAGAAATTGGGCCCAGCTGGCCTCCCTAATTCCCCAGAACCTCACCCCATGGGCCACACCTCGCTTTTTTGAGCCAGACAATCTAATTGTAACTTGTAAAGTACTTCCGTAAACAGATGCATATATCTGTATTTGTCAATGGGAAGAGCTTGACTTGTGGTAAATCAGGCACAAAACCAGATTATCTTGAAGGAATGAACCTTGGCAATTAGCCACAACATGACTGCAATAAAAATCTCATTAGGGGAAATGATTAGAGGTGTTTTTTTTTTTTTTTAAGATTTTATTTATTCATTTGAGACACAGAGTTAGAGAGCATGAGCAGGGGGAGAGGCAGAGGCAGAGGGAGAGGAAGAAGCAGACTCCCCTCTGAGCCAGGAGCCCGACGTGGGGCTCTATCCCAGGACCCTGGGATCACGACCTGAGCCGAAGGCAGACGCTTAACCATCTGAGCCACCCAGGCGCCCCGATTAGAGGTGTTTTAAGATGACAACATTTTCACAGGTTGAGCTGGAAGGGAGCTTGGTTAGAATGATCTTGTCCAACCCTCTCATCTCACACAGGAGAAACTATTTCAAACTCAGAGAGGTTAAATGACCTGGACAAGGTCACACAGCACCGCCATGCTTAACTCTTGGACATTGAGTTTCCTGTGAGGTCAGGCAGAGGAGGAATCCTTTGTTCTCTCTTCTTACAGAGATTTTTTTTTAAAGATTACTTTCCTAGTCCTAACAAGTAGCCCCACTACCCAGGACTTTGTGTCTCAAATGATTAAATCCTGTTCCTTCTTTGCTTTGTCTCCAGGAGGCCTCCCGCTTTCTGGTTGGTTGGGAAAATTGGCCAGTCTGGTCCGGGTCCAACCCCTCCCAACCCCAACGCCCGGTGGGCTGGCCGAGGACTGCTGACGCCAGCAGTCGCTCACGTGACCACCACAGCTCTCAGTTCCGCTCCCTGTCCCAGACCTCTGGGTGGGCACTTCCAGGGACTCCTTCTGTGGGGGGGGCACCAGGTAGGCACCCCTACCCTGCCTGTCCACCGCTGGAACAGTGAGGGGGCGACCACGCAGGCGCAGGTGAACAGACGTGGGCAGATCAGATGTCAGGCCCTCTGTGCCTGCCCAGCGCTCTGTAGGCAGCGGGGACTGAATGTGGCTGGCCTCAAGATGTCTCACAGCATTCCTATTTGTCCGCCCCCACCCCCGGCTCCCTTCCTCCAGGAAAACGACTCTGCCCTTCCTTCCTCTGTTCTTTGGCCTTGCTTTCACCTCAGCTACAGATCTTTTTCCCCTTTCTCTCTGCTGATTTAGCAGCATCCTGCTGGGGGCGTGGAGGGATTAATCAGTGACAGGAAGCTGCCTCTTTCAGAGCAGTGACCAGCTGTGCAAGACCAGCCCTAGGAGTCTGTGGTGCTTCCTGCCCGCTGCTCACCCATCCGCTCCTGCCATGGGGCACCTTGGGGCCCTCCTCTTCCTCCTTGGGGGCCTGGGGGCTCTCGCTGATATCTGCGGTGAGTAACCAGATCTACCCTGTGCCTCTTTCCTCCTGGGGCCTTACGGGGGAGGACTGTCTTGTCCAAACCCCTCATTATGTAGCTGGAGAAACTGAGGCTCAAATGTTTGGGAGGGTACGATTTATCTGCCCCTTTGGACTTCCACAGCAGCTGGGACTTAGCTGGACCTCAGTGTTTGACACACTGTGTTGAGATTGACCCTGAGTTGACCCTCGAACAAGGTGGGTTAGGGCTGCCGGCCCTCCATTCAGTCCAAAATCCATCTGTAACTTTTGACTCCCCAGAAACTTAACTACTAATAGCCTACTGTTGACTGGAAGCCTTACTAATAAGATAAACAACACATATTTTGTATGTTATATGTATTATATACTGTATTCTTATGATAAAGTCAGCTAAAAAAAGAAAATGTTATTGAGGAAATCACAAAGAAAAGAAAATAGATTTGGGACACCTGGGTGGATCAGTCTGTTCAGTGTCTGCCTTCGGCTCAGGTCATGATCCCCGGGTCCTGGGATCGAGCCCCGGAGCCTGGCGTCCGGGGAGAAGCAGGGAGTCTGCTTCTCCCTCTGCCCCTCGCCCTGCTTGTGCTCTCTCTCAAATAAATAAATAAAATCTTAAAAAAAAAATAGATTTAAAGTATTATACTATATCAAGAAAAATTCACATATAAGCGGACCCACGTAGTTCGAACACACGTTGTTCAAGGGTCAACTGTATACATCTGACAGGCCACCAGACAGAAATGCTCCCATTAATCCAGTCATGGATTTATTTACTCATTCAACATGCATTGACTGAGGCTTCTCTGAGCCAGTGCAGTGTTGGGCTTTGGGCAAAGAACAAAGAGAAGACCGGTCCCATCCCTGTCCTCCTAATGCATCTGTTCTAGTAAAGGGGACAGACAAAAAAGTCAAGACGCAAATCAGTACTGTGTTTGGGGGCTGCAGGGAGTGCCAAAGGAAGCGAACCAGGCACGGAGGTAGAGAGCTGGGGGCCACTCTCCACAGGGAGAGAGTTCAGGGAAGGATTTCCAAGGACCAGGCATGACAGGGGGATTGAGACCCAGAGGAGGAAAAGGAGCTGACATGAAAAGGAGTGGGGGGCATCCCAGGCAGAGGGAAGTGAGTACGCGGGCACCCTTAACGGAGACGAGACGAGTCTGAGAGAAGCGTAGGTGGCAGGTCATGGCAAGGCATTTGTGGTATACTGCACGCACAGGAGCCTGGCTGCTTCGGCTCTGGGTCCCAGTGTCCCCAGGGGCCTCTTGGGACCGGTCTTGGAGTCTGAATGCAGCCTGGGGCTATTTGTGCACTGGAGATAGGCAGAAAGCAGGAGGCAGGCAGGGAAGCCTCTGTGCTCTGGGATTACCCACCTCTCTTCCCTCCTTGTATGGTCTCTTGTTATCTTTGGACAAACTGAGAGGCAGGTTCAGGTGACAGATGAGTCAGTCAAAGGTTGGAGAAGCCAGGTGACCTGCCAAGGCACTCCAGCTTTCCAGGGCTTTGCTGGACTCAGTTCTCAGAACTCCAGGCCACGGTCTTCCCTGGGCACCAGGAGCTTCCAACCTGTGTTCCATAAGTGCAACCAGACCCCTCAGCCCTTGGCTCTTGGTTCCCGTCCAGACAGTCCCCAGGGGAGACCTGGGACCCAGACCTCACTGGGCATGAACCATTCAGTAGTTGGCCCATAGACCCGACAGAAGCCCTGGATCAGGTTTGGGGGTGCAGCCCCCTACAGCTGAGCCACTTAGCTGCTCAGGCCTCATTCCCTCCGCTGCAAAATGGGCTAAGAATTCTTCCCTGCCTTCCTCCTTGGTGTGGTGCGGAGGATCCCACCGCTCAAACTTTACCAGCTCGAAGCTCTGTGTGGTTGTAAAATTGACAAGAATGCTGCACTAATGCTTTTGCCCAGGGTGGGCTTCTGTGCTTGGGAATGTCAAGGCCGGTCAGCTGGCAGAGCTGCGTGGCCCTGTGAGCAAGAGGCCCCATGGGAGGGAGCTCGCACTGGGCCACTTTTATGACCAAGGTGAATTTGCCCGGCTCCTTCCTTTTAAGGAGGCTGAATTGTGGTTATGAGCCTCTCTTTATAGCTCTGGCTCTTCTTCTTATCACTTCTAATCCCAGGGCTGACTCACCTGCTAGAGGGCAGAGCCTGGGGTTGGGGTGAGGCTCCCCTACCAGTTTGAAGGAAAGGGAGAGGGAAAGAGAGGTACAGGGGGACAGATGACCAGAAGGACAGGCTGAAAGAGGTAGAGACTGAGACAGATACAGAGAGGGGGAAATGCCTATAGAAATGGGAGGCAGCCCCAGAAAGGCACTGAGGATGTGAAAGGAAAAGAAAAGCAACCCCTGTCCCCGACCCCCACCCCCTCTAGCCCCTTTAGCAACAGATACCTGTGACTTTTGGGAAAACGGGCATAAGATGGTGAGACCTATAGGGGCGCCTGGCTGGCTCAGTCTGCAGAGCATGCCGACTCTAGATCTCAGGGTCATGAGTTTGAACCCCACATTGGGCATAGAGATTACTTACAAAAAAAAAAAAATGATGGTGGGACCCAAACCAAGAGGGATGGGCCTGTTACGAGAGGAACCCTGGTCCTTGAGCAGGTGAAGAGCTCTAGCGGCAGTTCCTGGGCTCAGTCCCCTGGGAGGGGCAGCCTGCCCAGCATCCTGGGACGAGGCACGGCCACAGTGGAGGCAGCTGGAGCCCTGCAGATAACTGGGAGGCAGTAAATGGGGGAAAGTCCAAAGTGCCTCCCAGGCCACCCACTGAGCTCAGGTTCCTTCCCTAAAGGAAGCAGGCAGGGTCAGCTGGGGCTGGGAAATGCCCCCTGAGACTTCAGCTTCCCCAGTTTTTCAGCATTTTCATGATTCAGTTTCAGGCAAACCCCAAAGCACACAGAGAAATGGTTGCCAACGATGATGGCTTTTTACGGATTCACCCTTCAGTCTCCTCTTCACCTACACAGAGGTGGCAAAAAAAGCTTTATTTTGAGATCTGCACAGAGGAAGCTCACCAGACAGCCCCAGTTAGCCATGGGCAGCCTACAGTGGGGTTTGTTTGTTTGTTTTGTTTTTTAAAGATTTATTTTATTTATTTTAGAGAGAGTTGGGGGAGAGGCAGAGGGAGAGAGAGAATCCTCAAGCAGACTCCCTGCTGAGTGGGGACAATCCCCACCCCCCACCCCCAATGCGGGGCTCGATCCCAGGATCCTGAGATCATGACCTGAGCCGAAGGCAGAAACTTAACAGACTGAGCCACCCAGGTGTCCCAGCCTGCAGTATTTTAAAATTGGGTGTGTAACATGTTCTGTGTGTGGGTTGCAGTCTTGGTAAATGGATTCGGCAGAGCACCAAAGAACAGGGGCTTTGCAGGCAGGTTCATCCCTGGCTCTGCAGCCTGTGGAAGACACAACATGACTTTGAATGTCTGCTTCCTCTTTTGCACAAAGCAGTGATGACAGTATCGAAGCCACAGGGCTGGCGTGAGGGCCAGGTGAGGTCAGGTGCAGTGCCTGGGGCACATCACGAGGCTTGAGCTCCACTCTCTGTTACTCCTGGCGGCAGAGTGGTCGCCTGGTACTGGCTTCTTCTGCCCTAGCCCACTCCAACTGCTCTTTTGGGATACCTGCTTTCCCCTATTTACCTGCCGCCTTTCATTACAGCCTTACTTTCCCATACAAGTAGGATATGTGCTAGGTGGAGACGGAGTAGAGATGTTTATTCCCTGGAGAAGGCTCCGGTAAGGTAAAAGCAGTTCCTTGCTGGTGGCCTGGCTCTGCAACCTCACTTGACCTATTGTTCTCTTTCCTAAGAAATACCAGAGGTGGATAGCAAGCTGGTGGAGAGGCTGGGCCAGCACCTCTTGCCCTGGATGGACTGGCTGTCCCTGGAGTACCTGAACCCCAGTATCTACGTGGGCCTACGCCTCTCCAGCCTGCAGGCCGGGGCCAGGGAGGCCTTCTATCTGCACATCCTCAAGCTCAACTACCAGCAGAGCGTCCTGGGGTATCGCTGTTCACTTTCTTCTCCTTTCTCTATGTCTTGCTCTACCTCCTAAGGGAAAGGAGACCTGTGTTCTGGTTTGGGCTGCCACTGCTTTGTTGGGGAGACTTTGGGCAAGTTTTGTCTCCTTTGGCACTTTCTCCATCTGTAGAATGGGGTTGGCTTGACTAGACTGGAGGCAGATATCACTGATCCATGATCACAGTCTACGCCCCCCCCCCTACTGAGCCCAGAAGCAGCATCTAGCAGCATCTAACTTTGTGCTCCCTTTCCAGGGGGCATTAAGGGGAGGCCTGTTCTGAGGCTCAGTGTGGGAGTTTGAATGAGAGGTAAAGGATCGGGACCACCCTGAAGCATCTCCTGCTTGGACTCCCTCTCAAGAAGCAGACACAGAGCAGGGAAAGGGAAGAAAGGGAGGGCTGTGTGGACAAAGGGTGATCAAAATCGTGGGGGCAAGCATAGGTCACGGACGTCAGAGCCCTTGGGACTTGTCCTTGAGTCTAATTTTTTTATCTTTATGAAATATGTATGGCATGCACCTTACAACATGCAGAGCTGACTCATCTACTTTTGGTAGTTCTAGCAAAGTTTCTAATTATTAGGATTCTTTTCACTTTATGATGTTGGGGGGAGGTGTCCCAACCCAGGCTTACCAAAGGTGGCATTTTCTTACAGAAGTGTTGTTTACTGGCTTTGTCCTAGGCTTGCCATCAATGATGACAACAGTAACAACCAGGCCAAGCCCTCCATGGGCCAGCTGGCCCTCTACCTGCTGGCTCTCAGGGCTAACTGTGAGTTTGTTGGAGGCCACAAGGGGGACAGGCTGGTCTCACAGCTGAAGCGGTTCCTGGAGGACGAGAAGAGGGCCATTGGTGAGAGGAAATGGTCTGCCAAGTGTGGGGGGGCCCTCATCAGATAACATTCTCTGGGGAAGCATCTAAGTCAGAACTTTGGGTTTTTCCCCCCAGGCTTCTTTCCCACCCTCCACTCTGCCTGTCTCACTATCCACCTAGAGGCTTGGGCCTGCCGCAGTCACCATCCTTGACCAAGCCTTTCCTGTACCCCACATGCACTCTGTTGGCAAGTTCTGCTCAGCCACCACGACTGAACTGACTGTCTACCTCTGGGACAACTGCATGGCCTCCATACTGCTTACTCCTCAGCCTCTCTCTGCTAACTCTCCTGCTGCCTGATTTGACCCAGCACATGACAGCCAGGGCAAGCATTTGAAATCTAAATTTGATCTGGTTAGCCCTGCTCAAACCCTGCACAGGCTACTCACTGCTGTGTCCACAGCCCCTCAGCCCCGTCTGTCTGCCCCTTTCTCCTCTTCAGGACCTGCTGGCCCACTCCCTGGCTCACCCATGCACCTGCCTTTCTGGCTCTGGCCACGCTGATTTCTCAGCTTGCAGATCAGGGTCTTCGTATATGTTCTCTCTATCTGGAAGGTTTCCTTCCCCTTCTAGCTTCCTGCTCCCCCTTAGCTCCTCCTCACCCCCACCTCCCCAGTATCACGGCCTTTTAGAGAATCCTGCCCTGATTCCCAGCTACTCAAAGACCTCTACTGTTTGGCCCCAGAGACCTTGGTCCACATTTCAGTTCTAATCATGCTGACGTGGGTGCAGGTTGTGTTACTGTTGGAGGGCTGGCCGGTCACCACTCTGAGCACAGTACCTGACACGGAGTGGATCCTCAGCAAGAATGGGTTGAGGGAATGAAGGAATGAAGGATCCCATGACCCAGAGGAGGGTGTTGGGAAGTGTGGGCAGTGGGGTCCCATGTGCTGACTGGGCTGGTTGCTGGGAGGGGGGCAGAGAGGCAACCCCTCAGGCCCAGCATGAAGCCCCTGCCCCATGGTCTTCTTCCTCCCAGGGTCCAATCACAAGGGCCAGCCCCTCACCAGCTACTACCAGTATGGCCTGGGCATCCTGGCCCTGTGTGTCCACCAGAAGCGGCTCCATGACAGCGTGGTGGGCAAGCTCCTGTACGCCGTGGAACACGACCAACATCTGCCCCAGGGCCCCCTCTCTGTGGGTGAGTGGGCGAGGCCCTGCGAAAGCCAGGCTGGCACTCCGCCAGTCCCCAGCTCCAACTGAAGGCCTCCACCCCCTGCCCCATGCTCACCTTTCCTTGGGACCCCTTCCTTATGAGTTCCTTAGGAGTGAAATGGCGAGGGCTCGTGTGTGGGGTATGGTGGTCGTGAGCCAGTGTTGGAGCAGGCCTGGGACCCTGACGCCAGCTCTGTCACACAATTATTGTAGGCTACCCTGGGCAAGTCAGCTGGTCTTTTTGGCTCAGCTTCTGCTGTAAAATAAGCTCCCAGCAGTATCTTGATAGAAGATACCTTATAAGTCAAGGGCTTGTCATGGTGCCTGGCATGGAGAAAGTTCTGGATACAAAGCTATGGTCTTGTCCTCATATGAGCTGGGAAGCCTGAGACCTGGATTCTGGAGCTGCTACCTCACTGTGTTACCTTGGGCCTCCAGTGCTCTTTCTTGTCGTCGTGATTCAGGGTCTCTTGTAGGTGGGCGTTCTGTGAGAGGGTGCCTCGCCTAGGGTGGGGGTAGGATGGAGTAGGTTGGGAGGGTGAGGAGATACTGCAGAGAGCTTGCTCTTGCCTGAGGCTTGTAGAAAAGCCACTGTGGGCCCAGTAAATCACCTCTGGGCGGGGGCAGGGGCTGGTGGGGTTTAAAGCCTGAAGGGCCCAGGCAGCACCCTGGACCTATGATATCAGATCACCTTGGGGTGGACCCAGCTATCGGTCTGTTCCAAACTTCCCTGGTGATTATAAAGTGCAGGCAGATTTGGGAATGAGGGGTGTAGGATAAAGCCTCTTGGGCCTCCCTCCTCCAGGCTCTCTCCCTAATCTCTAACCCCTAAACAGTAGACAGGGGAAGGGTGACCAACCATTGTTTGCCTGGAACTAAGGGGCTTCCCAGGACAGCAGACTTACAGTGGCCAAACTGGGAAAGTTCTGGACAAACTGGGCTGAGTTGGTCCCCCTTGCTGGTGAAAACGTTCTAAAATGCTGATCTGACCATGCCCCTTCTTCAAGCCTCTGGTGGCAGCCCATTGCCCCAGGGCCCTGCCTAGACTGACCCCAATTGGCTCTGTCCCTTGCAGACACAGTGGCCATGGCGGGCTTGGCCTTCACCTGTCTGGAGCGCTCCAACCTCAACCCCAATCAGGGACACCGGATCACCCTGGCCATTAGGACAGTACAAGAGAAAATCCTGAAGGCCCAGACCCCTGAAGGCCACTTTGGGAATGTTTACAGCACACCTCTGGCGCTGCAGGTAGTAAAGAGAGCATGGGGCCAGAGTTCACCCCGGTGTTCGGTGGGCGGTGGCCTGGTCAGGGGCTGGAAGACCTGGCTCCTCCATGCCAGCCGACCTACCTCCTCCTTCTCTTCCGCATTCTGTCACCAGTTACTGATGAACTCCTTCATGCCTGAAAAGAAGCTGGGCACAGCATGCCTCAAGGCAAGGGCTGCTCTGTTGGCCAGTATGCAGGAGGGGGCCTTCAAGAATGTTCTCATCATTTCCCAGCTGCTGCCTGTCCTGAACGGCAAGAGCTATGTGGATCTCATCTCGCCAGACTGCGAGGCACCAAGAGGTAGCTGGGCCTTTCAACGGGAGCCCTCTTCTTTTCAGTCTGCTCAGTGCTTCCTGAAGTCTGCATGTCCCAGGGAAGGGAGGTTGCCTCATCCTGATTTGCTGAGTCAACGGGGGTTTGCGGGTCCATGTGGGACACACTGGCAGCGAAGATGCAGTCAGAGCTTCCAGAAAGCCACGGTGTGGGGAGAGAGATACCAAAGAGAGAGCTCTGGGTGGGCCATGAGTCTGCAGCCCCTTGTGTGATACCCAGTCCAGAAATGTTTGAATGGATGAATGGGGAGAGACACATTTTGGGTAGCGCTGATATATCCTAATGAGTCCCAATTAGCAGCTGGAATCAGGGCTTCATCTGGGAGAAGGACTTGAGTTGGTGAGTGGGATTTTCCAGTGGCGAAGAGCAGTAGCAAGGGCAGGGCAGAGAGTGGGCAGCAGAAACAAAGGTGCCGAGGTGTAAAAGGGTCCTCCCAGGGTCCAATCACAAGGGCCACCCCCGCACCAGCTACTATCAGTATGGCCTGGGCATCCTGGTCCTCTGTGTCCACCAGAAGCGGCTCCATGACAGCGTGGTGGGCAAGCTGAAATTTGGGGGAAGTTTCCTACTAGAGAGTGGGGTCTGGGGGAATGAGCTTTCATTCAAGCAGGAGAATGAAAAGGAGGGGAGACCCTCAGAGGTAATGTGGGCAGGGATTCTAGTTGTAGAAAGAGCCCTCTGGGGTGCTATGTGGCAGATAGGTGGGAAGGGGTACTGGAGGCAAAAAAACCCAGTGAGGGACCCAACCTTGGGCAGCCGGGGGACTTGGGGGATAAAGGACAGGGGAGGCTGGGATCCTGTGGTGATCCTGGCTGAGATGGGCCACAGCATCTTCAAGGGAAGAAAGGAGGGCTAACACCGGCCCCCTGCCCTCACACCAGCTACCCCTTCTTCTCTCCCTGGCTTAGTCCTGTTGCAACCAGCTGTGGAGACTCCTTCACAGACCCAAGCGCTCATCAGTGTCATGCTGAAGGTCCCCAGTGTCTTGCCACCATACAGACATGCCATATCCGTCCCTGCTGGGTCCTCCTTGGAAGATGTCCTTAAGAAGGCCCAGGAGCTCACAAGATTCACGTGAGACCCCCACCTCCCAGCCCTCACCCCACCTGACCCGACATCCCTGAAACAGGGTGTGGATGGGATGGGGATGGAAGAGGAGGTTCCCCTGGGAGAGGTGTCTGGCCAGGCTCTGCTTCCCCCTTCTCCACCCCTGAATGGCCCGGGGTATAGTGGAAATTGGGAGCTGTGGGCCAGCATTGTCAGTGGCTCTGAGAACATGCTCTGGGGGCAGAGCATCCGCATTGGAATCCTAGCTCCACCACTCCCCCACTAGGGACCTGGAACCAGTTATTTACCTGTAATCCAGTGAGAACACGAGCTGTGCCCTGCTCCTTGCAGAGTCCATGCAAGGAGTCCGGGAATTAGTGCACAAAGAGGATGTGGCCCCCCATACTTAGTAATCTCAATACAGGTTAGCTTTTTTTTTTTTTTTTTAAGATTTTATTTATTTATTTGACAGAGAGAGAGAGAGCACAAGCAGGGGAAGCAGCAGAGGCAGAGGGAGAAGCGGCCTCCCCGCTGAGCAGGGAGCCCAATGCGGGGCTCGATCCCAGGACCCCAGGATCACGACCTGAGCCGAAGGCAGACACTCAACCGACTGAGCCACTCAGGTGCCCTCTATTTTTAATTTTTTGAGGAACCTCCATACTGTTTCCCACATGGGAAGTATAGTAAAGGCTTTATGGAACTAGAGGGCCTAAGTAAACAACATGAACTGGTAGCCTAAGGCCTCTCTGTTGCATACAACAGTTGCTCCAGAATCCCTCCCCACTTTGCACCTAAGGCTGTATGGAAGTCCCGAATGACTAGCTGAAGGAGGAGGAAAAGACTCAAGTTTGATTTATGGATGGGTAGACTCAGTATACAGGTACAAGGCAAAAATAGACCATATCTACATTATAGCTACTTCCAGGGTTGGTCTTGAAAGACAGTGGAGATGGAAACTCTTTCCAATGGGTGGGGCTGTAACTAGTCATCAGCTAGTTATGGCAAGTAAAGTGGCCCAAGGTAAGAATACATATGGATTCCTGGGCGATAGTCAATGGTTTCAGTGTCTGGTCAAGGGTCTGGAAAGGAAAGGACTAGAATGTAGAGATAAGGAGGTTTGGGGTAGAGGTATGTTGATGGACACAAGGATGAAAGTAATAGAGAAAACACTGATCCCCCAATACGCCACTGTTCCTTGAGGAGGCCAGCTGGCCACTCAATGGCAGTTCAGCTACAAGGCACATTTTCTGTTCTGGGAAGGTCACTGGTTTGTCCTCATAGGGATAGATATCTAATCTGGGTAGGGGTTTGCCTTTTCTGCCTGTAGAGTCTCAGCCAACACCACTATCCAGCAGCCTGTGGAATGCCTGATACAGGCATGGGATCCCACATGTCATTGCATCCAACCAGAGGACCCATTTCTCATGTAAGGATTTGTAGGAGTAGGTCCGTGGCCATGGGATCCAGTGTTGCATCACCTATGCACATCCAGAGGCAGCCAGCCTCACAGAATTACTGGAATGGCCTTCTAAAGGCACCAGGTTGAAGGAAATACTCTGCAACAATGTATGGGAAGCCATCCCACTTCCACCCAGTGATCCACTGGGGGGATATTGTGCTTCCCATCCCTGTAACTCTGGGCTCTGCAGGGTTGGATTCAGACCTGCACCACAGGGGGCCCTTGACCTCCTCTGCTTCCCTCCCTTTTTATACTCACAGAATTCTCCCCAATCAATCCTGTGCACCCCTAATGTCATCTTGGCATCTACTCTTGGAGAACGTGGACTAACATAGCAAGTCATAGATTCATAGCTTGATGATGATTCACAAAGCAAGCATACTCATAGAACCAGCACCCAGATAAGGAAACAGAACATGACCAATACCCCCGAGGCCCTCCCAACTGTGCTCCCTTTCAGTTTATATTCCTCAATGAGAGTCACTAATTTCACTTCCCAAATCATACATTAGTTTTGCCTGTTTTTGAACTTTGTGTCAATGAATTTCATAACATCTTCTGTTAAGAACTGTGAAGAGTCCAGGGTCTTAACCCACTCGCACAGATATATAATTTTTAAATATAAACACTGCAGAAACATGAGGTTTCTGGGTCAGAGGAAAGAATTTTTGCTTGATACCCACAACCAGATTAACAACCAGAGTAGCATTGCACCTAGTTCCTTGTACCTAGACCCACAGACAATTCAGTGAGAGCTGATGGAAGCTTTCTGTGTGAGTAGTGGGTTATATATCATAAATGAGGGATGGAGAACAATGAATTTTCTCCATTTCTATAAGTAGGAGCAAAGCAGCTGCCTTCTCTTTCCCTCCTGAAAGGAAAAAGAAAAAACAACTGCTTATTAGAATTGAACGGAAAAGATCCTAGGTACTTACCCTAATCTGATGGAATGTAAATACATCCCTACAAGAACTGGATAAGCCCCAGTATCTGGCTTTTATAATGTAAAGATGTTTGGGATATCTCGGCTTTATCCCTTTTGAAATATATGGGGAGATAGCAGTCTGGTTTTCCTGGAACCTTGGGAGCTTAAACCAGGGGCCTAGTTGGACTGTACCCATTTGGCCCTCGCAGGGAAATAAGAGTTTTATTTTGCTTTTGGTTAAGACAATTAACTAGACAAATGGCTACAGAATGGAGTGTCATGGTGTCTGAAAAGTTAAATGTTTTTAGGGGAAGTGAAAGCAAGCATTGCCTATCTTTATATCATATACATTTCCATATCTCAGGGGATCTTT